TTAAAATCACTGGTTAAATATTAGTTTCTACCTTTCCTTTCAGGACTTCAGAATAGTCAGATAGACACTGTTTGGTGCTAGTTAGTTACTCGGAATATTTAGATAACCCAGGTTTGGGAACCAATTGGGACACTATGGTATGAGTAAATGTGTACACTTAGGTTAAATAATCAACTAGTTTGGCAGTGAGTTTATGGAATTATCTATCTGTGCATGTTAAACTCTAAAGTTAAATTGTAAAACTCTTCAAGCTTAAATCCTGTAAAATGTCCTCTTAAACATTATACCAAAGAGGCAGAAAGCCCGAAAGTAAAAATACTACTGTACAGTATTTATTTGGAGTTTTATTGGATAACAAACATAACTAAACTAGTTTGCTTTTAAATTCCTTGAAAAAACCCCCCAAATTTCAGTGTATTTAGGGGTTAAAAATAATAATTCTCACACTTGGCCAGGACAGAGATTACCCGAGATTCCTTCCCTCTAGACTGTGCCAAAGATATATATTTTGGAGAGAATGTGTATTCTCCAGGCCAACAGCTAAGGAAGGCTCTGTAATGCTTTACTCATTTCCAGCTGGCCTCTGTAAGAAATAGGAATTCCTAAATTAAGAGAAAATTGTCACTGGCAGACAGAGTTCAATTTTTTTTAACCAATATAATAGACAGTCTTCTAGAACCTGATATAATTCGTAATGATAAGTGCCAATCTATAACAAGGTTAACAGCATTGACTTGGATAATTTGTCTTTGGGAATAAATGGATTATTCCAAAGTGGTTTAACAAGAGTGAAGTAGCATTCACAGTGGAGAGTGGACCCCATCAGGAAACTAAATGATGATTTCTACTGGAAATTATTAGCACAGCATTCCTATTCATTTATGTATATGTTTGGCAGTTCCATCTTTAAACTTTTTAATAAAGTGAGTGTGAAACAAGCATACTAAGGAACAAAAGTTAGCTTTGTTTTGTAAGATTTGCTGTTTGTTTTGGTCAGGGTTGCAGCATCTTTTTAAAGTAGTTCATCTGCTTAATTTAACACATGGGTATTTGGAATTGAATCTATTCCTAGAGGTCAGACATTGAGGATTTTTTGCATATGTCTTTACTTAAATATTTCTTTGGTTCTACAGTTCAAACTATTTTTGTCCCTTTAATGAAAATGTTTGCATATAGTTACTGCAAATCAAGGAAATGTGTGTGGCAAAAATCAAGCAGAGTGCTTATGAATGATTAGCAGAGAACTGAATACGTTATGAAAGGTCATAACAATCTCCCCAATCATTTTTTATATCAAAGTACACACTGATCACCACAAAGATGGAATAAAAAAAAGATGCTTTGCATTAAGAAGCAATTAAACACAAAGTTTTGGGCACATTTGCAATTCTGTCAGTGCTGAGCCTATGAATCATAGGATGTTACAGAGGTGAAAAAAGACTATCAAGACATTTCTATTTTATCACTATCATCCCAGTGAAACATCTTCCCACCAGGGACACTGTTTGGAAAGACAGTGATTGAATTTCCTTTTCAAATAAGATACTTTCCAGGTCTAGTCCAACAATTCTATGTCAGAAATGGATCAGGTCCTTCTGTGGCCATGTTAGAGAAGTGTGTGTTTTTGTTTTGCTTTTAATAAATAAACTCTTGATTTAAAACAGCACAGAGAGCATTATATAGCTACTTTTAACTTATTCCAACCTGAAATAAACCAAGTATCTGCTAGTTCACAGAGAAAATTCTTAAGTGTACTTTGCTTCCATCTGCTGCTTTTCTTCTAGGTGAGATAACTGCTCTCTAACCTGCCAGGTATTCCAGCCAAATGAATTCCAGAAAATGCAAAAGAAGTCTGCCAGCTTCCTTGAGCCTCAATCTTAAGCATCCTTTAGGCTTAAATAGCATGTTACTCAAATAAGGGTGGATTTACTTTTTAAAACAAAATCGCATTTTTAAGTAGTTTGATATACCATACAGGAAAAGGTCAAGGGAGTCATATGTTTACATAAAATTATATCAATTACCTTAATTTTCCTGGTGAAAGATAAGGTAATTACTAATTTTTTGTGGTAAATTATATGAAACATTGTAGTTGTTATAGAACCAGAGTCAGAAAAATAAAATGGGCCACAAGAAAAGAAGTACAATGCTTACATGTATCATACATTTTGGCTTACTTGTTGAAGAAGTTTAAGCAGTCATTTATTCAATAAATATCACCGCATGTCATGCAATGGTCTGGTCACTCAGAGGAGTGAGAAGGGTAAAAGGATTAAGACAATCTTAACGAAACAGCAAAAATATAAGGCAAAAAGTAATTGAGAGAAATTAATGTAGTCAATAAGTGCAGACAGATTCTGTCATTTATTGGGGAAATTAGGTACTTGAGCTGGCCCTCAAAGGACGTGGATGGTTGTAAAAAACACATTCTAGGCAAAGAGAAGTGTATAAACAAAGACATGGAGATTGTAGAAGTACAAACTGCTCAGGCCTGAGCTTAGTGGAGATACTGAATTAATAAGAATAATGAGACAATTCTCAAAAGGTAGGTTAAGGCCAGAATATAGAAAGCTTTGAATGCCAGAGTGAGTATCTGGTAGTTGACAGTATAGCCAATGACAATTCTCTGAAATTGTGTGAACTATAGGATAGAGTGGTGAAGCCATCCCCCTATATGGGGGTAAGAAAGTACATTAGATATTGTTACTCTAGTCCTGGTGAAAATATAAGAAGGACTGTAGTATTATATTGGGAGTGAAGAGCAACCCAGGCAAAACACTACCTGTGTATAGAAGAAAAAGTGCCAAGGACAGCTTCTACTTGAGTATCTGGGAAGACGGTATTAACATTTTTCAAGAAAAAGGAAATTGGGAGTGGGATATGGTTTGAGGAAATAAAATGAGGAATGCCACCGGCACAGTCCTACAGCAACTGACATTTGAGAATAAAGAAATAGGCTCCCCTCAACTCCTTCTGAGTTTCCATTTCATTGAACATTCTTTTTTTTTTTTTTTTTTTTTGGTACGCGGGCCTCTCACTGTTGTGGCCTCTCCCGTTGCGGAGCACAGGCTCCGGACGCGCAGGCTCAGCGGCCATGGCTCACGGGCCCCGCCGCCCTGCGGCATGTGGGATCTTCCCGGACCGGGGCACGAACCGCGTCCCCTGCATCGGCAGGCGGACTCTCAACCACTGAGCCACCAGGGAAGCCCTCATTGAACATTCTTAAGCATACTTTCTTCTCTTGTTTCTCACAACTTTTCCTCCTGTTTCTCTGAATACCCCTTTTTTTGGTCCTTTTTGCTAGCAGTTGCTTCTTTTCTCACAAGCCTTTAAAGCTGGGAGTTTCTCAGGGCTGCATCTTTTCTTCTCCATCTATACTCCCTTCTCGGGCATGCTTATACTTTAAAATTTAAGCACTGCCTAAATGTTGATGATTATAAAATGTATATTTCCATCCCATTCCTCTCCTCTGACCTATCTACTAGACACCAGTATTTAATTCTTTTATGGGCACGTGAAACAGTCCAACATAGAATTCATAAACCTTCCCCTCCAACTTGATTCATCTCTAGGCTTCTGTATCTCATATCACAGAACCATTACCCATACAAGTTCTTCAGACCAGAAAGCTAACGTGGGATTCCTCTTAAACACACGAACACCTCCCTCCTTCTCACCTCTCCACAGAAAATCAACCTCACTCCTGTTCATTTTAACCTCATAACAAATTTCTCAAAGCCAACCATTTTCCCCATCTCTACTGATACTACAATACAAATAGTCAGCATTTATTTAGTTACTATATATCTGACCCTTTGCTAATGATTTTTCATAAATTATTTCATTTGGAATCAGTAACTTAACTGAACAGAAAATTCAGAATTCAAACTCAGGGCTGTCTGACTCCATACACTGAATTATCTCACCAATTACCTAACTTATCAAATCCTCTCCCCTTCCTAGAAATTCTATAATATTCTCGTAGCATCTCTCTATATCCATGACATTAATCACTGTTGATACTGCAGCCTGAAAAATGTAAGTATGAAGAAAGTAAGAGATTTCTTTTAATTTCAGACCAAAACTATTAACCAGTTTATAAAATTAAGTTATATATGGATATGGTAGAATTATAAGCATAGAAGTTCCTTTCTTTCAATGTAATTCAGATAAACTGTTCTTTGTATATCTGTGCAGAAAAATTTTAATATGTATAAAAAGAATATATGTAAATATAGTTCACACTATATAACTCTTCTGCATAATATTTACATACTTAATAGTAGTTCTTGGAGAAATTTTCTTATCAGTATGTATATACAAATATATTTTTATAAAGTACAGTGTTCTACTGTTTAAATATAGTATTTTGATTTATGTAACTAGTTAATGGATATATGGACTGTTTCTAAATTTTTGTTGTTTCAAACAAGGCTGCAATGAGCATCTTCATAAATGCAGTTAGCAAATTATTTGAGAATGTCTGTAAGCAAAAGCTATGGCAACAGAGCTGTTGAGTCCAAGAATGTGTGCATTTCAAAATGAGATATTTTTTTCACCTATCAAAATGTTTTTTGAAAAGTTTGAAAACATCCAGTCTTAGAAGTAGTATGGGAAAACATATGTGGAAGCAACAGGGCAGAATTGAGTAAAACAAACTTCCTCCGTATGTCAGCCCCTGGGTATCTCTCAACCCACTTCTCTCATGTTGCCTCTCTGAGCCCTGAATTTGTGTAAGTGTGTGTGTATTTATTTCTAAACAAGTTTGTTAGTTTTAATTCTTACCATATATGGACTCATACATATTTTATATATTGAAAATAAGGTTATATATATACATTTGTTTTTCTAATCTATTCTGCTGTTTGTGTTTTGTCTCCTCAGGTAGATCTTTCCTTTTTAAGTAGCTCAAAATATTTTTCCTTGGTCTATACACATCACTGAAACTGGATTACTTTTACCTGCACAGTTAGAGTATTTTGAAATTTAGAGAGACTTACAGTTGCTTTGGCACATTTTACAGATGTGGGGATTGAGGTTGGGGGGCCTAAGGAACTGCTCTTCTGCATTCAAGGCCGATGCAGGTCGTGCACTCTGGCTGTGCAGATGCTGGGGTGCCACCCCGTCAACCTGCAGCAAAACCAGGGACCTGTTTGTGAAAAGATTTTCCCTTTCATTTACATTTTGCATCCATATGATGCCTTTCTAACTAGCTGATCATTTGCATATTTGTTCTTGCATTGTATACACGTCTTTCTCTGGGTGTCCTGGTGATCTGGTTATGTCTATCTCTGGATATCCTCTGGTATTTGATGAACATATACTTTACTACATCTAAGTAAAAAACACTCAATGCTAAGACTACTGATTTTAGATTTATAACAGTCATCAAATTTCATTATATTTTTATGTGAAACCCTTCCCTTGTTCCCACCTACTGAAGTTCAATAGCCCCAAAATGAGTTTTGGCACGCTCCATGCTCCATCCCCTATAAAGGACATCAAGAGTAATTTTTAACTCAATGACATTTATTTACTGAATTACTTCTAGGTATGGTTTAGAAGGTGAAATTATAGATGCCCTGGTATGCAGCATGAAAGCACTGATAGCATTATTTTAAGAATCTAGTGATTTTTCAAGGATCTATTAAGAAGACAGTATTTTTAACCCCTGTGGATTAAAAAAAATTACTTCTCTCACATTTTTCAATCCAAAGGATGTTAAAATTTATAATTTAATTATACTTATACACACACATATATATACATTATATATATATACATACACACACCCACTTACATACGTATACATAGACACTAATCTCTCTAAATTTTACATTTTCTTTAGATAGAAGACATATACACATAGTATGTATGCCTCATTCTTTTCAAGCTAATATATTTCTGCTATGTTCAATCGTATCAGCCAACTGCGTCTGACTACTTTGAGTAATCCGAATGCTTTGGAAATTCAATATTTTTATATATCTGGGGCAACAGATACAACTCTCGAGAGATCTTAAGAATAAAAATGATAGCAATGCAAAATTGTCCCATTCTCTGGCAGCGCAAAGAGACAGAGACAAAACAATTTGATAGCCAACAGTTTAGGGATTATTATGCATGCTTTAGAAGACAGCTATATTTTTTAGACAGAATGGTGAGTAGCAAGTTGGGTAAATGTTTGGTGGATGTATCTAAACGACATAATAGAAAGTTTTTCTTGAGAAAAACCATCTTACTTATCATTGAGTAATTTCTTTAGTATGAACAGCTTACTCAGAGATAAGTGAATTTTTAAAGTAGATTTTCCTATAATGCAAAATATCTCTTCTTTAGGATATCTTTGGATAGGTTTCCTCAATGTCTGTATGTTTAAAACCAAGGCCACAATCTTTGATTTCTTTGATTTACTGACTGAGCCAACAATGATAGAACTCAGTATGATAGATTCATATTTGATTATGGGATAGCTGCTCAAATTTTCCTGTCTTATGAGATTATCTATAACTATAAAAATGATGAGCAGTTATCTTTTCCAAATATCAACAGACTTGTAGATGTAATTAGAAAATAATTCTGAATAGAAATGCTAATCCATCCCAAGAACAGTTTTCTGAATTACAGATTATTTCTGTTTGGTTTCCATCTACAAATTTTCTCTAGTTAGAAAAAAATATTTACAAAGCTAGTCTTTGAAATTTAAATAATCCAATGTAAGCTTTCCTAAAGTATGTTACACTAAATAACAAACTAGCTACATGCTCTGTAAAAGTGATCCTTGGTAAAAGTGAAAAAGAAAATACCATAGCCTCTCTTTGAGATTTGCAGTGTACAGAACAACATTTTCTATTTTTACATTCTAGTAGGATATTTAAGTTGGTTATTTACTATTACTGCTAATTATTTCTTTAAATTTGACTGGTAAATCCTTCTAATAAGTGATTGAGCTTCCCTCTACTAACCTGTAACAACCCACTTAGTTTAGTTGTATTAAAACCAGTGATCTATACATATCCTCATTTGGATTCTGGAATATCCTGCAACAACCCACTTAGTTTAGTTGTATTAAAACCAGTGATCTATACATATCCGCATTTGGATTCTGGAACATCCTGCAAGTTTATTTTAATTGGGTTGGGGTATATGCAGCACTGGGTCAGTCCACATATGAAGGAATCCATAGTCCTAAGGTCCTAGCCTAGCCATTGGGTAACAAGAAATCCCTCCTTTGCAATTTTTGGATCTGGGTTTTTTTGTCCCTTTTCATTTAATGCAGAAACACTAGGCTGCAGAGACACATGATTAAAAATGTGGTATTATATAGTCATTTTTTTAAGGATATTCCTGATTGCTTTGATCAAGTTTTGTTTCTTTAAATTTCCCTCAATGATTCCTGAGTTTTCCTTCAGTGAAAAGAAACGTCTTCTGTGATTATTTGTAATTTCCTACCAATGGTAATAAGTCACAATTACCACTGTCCATGTTAATTGGAGGGACAAACTTCTGTGTAGAAAACTGAAGGCAGATCATCAGGCCAAGGACCCTATGAGATTTGGGAACAGCCTATTACCCAGAATTTTACATTCACATGATCTGTCTCTCTAAGAATCCACCGTAACAAACAGTAAGAAATAAAAGAATGTTTTTTTCAGGGTCATGTAAAATGGTACAAACCAAACCACTTGTATTGACTGCTGACCAATCTGGATAAAAGAAAAGCTCGAAATGACAGGGTAATAAATCTTCTATTTGTCTTTCTACACTTCAGTATGTCAGTAAAGAACCTTTCATGACGTTGTTTCTCTGATCATGCACTTGCCTGTTACGAATTGTTTTAACTTAAGAATTATGCAATATGAGACCACTTTAAGGTTATAAATCTTGGTTACACAAAGCACACTTACAGAACTGGTAAAATTTACATGATAATTTAAAAATTTTTTTGAGCTTCTGTTAAAATATGAGAGTGCTAACTACTCAGGAAAAGGCACACTTATTTTCCCATAGTTATTACAGAGTCCTAAGACAATATAATACATCAGGTAGATTTCAATACCATCTGAAGTATGTGTATTAAGAAAATTATTTTTACTAGAAACAATCCAGATACATGCAAGTCTTTCATAGTTACAAAAATAAATTATTAAGCAAGCAATATGGTTTATTTTGAGTTTTAGCCAAAACATTATTTTCAGAGAAAATGCAAAAAATTATTGTAAAATGCCATTTTGAGATCTGTAACTACCTGGAACTAGAAAATCTTCACTACAAGAATGATCTCAAAATAAGTAGAATTCCTATTAACTTAAATGCAAGTTTTATAGTTAGAAAACATATATTAGTTTGATACAATTCCCCTATTAGAAAAAAATACCTTAGTTTTTAGATTCCTCTTCTATTCAAATGAATATGCTGTAGTTTCCATTTGCAGGATAAGTTAAAGATGGCTCACAATACTGTAAGCTTTATATTTACTGCTTCTAAACAAAGTTATACCATACTATCTGTATAATTAAATCATCCAGAATTATTTCTGCTTCCAGCATTATTTTGAATTATATAATTACAAAAGACTCATAATCTCTTATCCAAAAATCTATTAATCATGTCATAATTTGGTACGTGGCCAAAGCTATTCATTTCCTAGAATTTTAAAGGACTAAATTAAATTCAAATTATAGTGTATGAATGTAATCTAAGAATTAACCAAGGATTTTGTGTGGTTCCAAGGTGTTTTGTGTGTCTTTAAAATTCACTTGAATAAGTATAAACCACTTGTTAATACTGCACAGAAAAGTTAACTCTATAAAAGCTTCATGAAGGACCAAATTCTGTGTAATAGATAAAACAACACTCCTTTATTTGCTCCTCTATTGGCCTCCAATAACGAAAATAAGAAGTTGTAGAAGTTCACATAAAGGCAGAAAGGTCAAGTTCAGCCAGAAAATATATGGCGTATCATTAAACATAAGAGGCTATGTTATTTTTCAAATCAGTGTTCTCTGCTTAGGACAGCTTAAATGAGTAAATACAGACTTATAATGCCAGGAAACAGATGGGTCATGTTTTGCTCTCCCAGGAAAGACCCTAAGGCCATATCTATATCAAAATGTGGCATATGATTATTTCAATGGTTAACTCAAGCCAGAGCAAAGCAACCACATTGTTTTTGTCCTGTTTTTGCCAACTTTCTAGTCTCAATGAAATAAACACTAGCATTGTTTAATAAAGGCTGTATTATATCTACTTAGAAATCAGAGTTAACAATTATATGACGGGAGATTTTCTCTTTGAGTATATCTATAATTTTCCCTGTCAAGCTGAGAGCAATTTTCCCACTGTTTACACAAAACCACCAAAACATAAATGCTAGAAATCACATAGGCTGATACAAATGCAGTAAACAGTTTGAGGCATAAGCCATATTCTTAGTAAGCCTCTGTTTAGCTAGTATTACCTCGGTTCAAGTGGTCAATGGCTTTTAGACAGTGTGAAAATCTGAGAATATACATATTTTAACTGATTCTCTAGTGATTCATCCATATTATTGAGGGAGGAGCAGAATTTCAGAGCTAGACCTTATGGATAGCCCATTGAATAATTCTGATTAAAGCCAACCCAGGGCTTAATTTTAAGTCCATTTAGGTTTACCAAGTGTTTAAAAATATCAGTAGAATTTGAATGAAACTGACAGATTAGTTGACTTCAGAGGAGCATAGAAATCGACCCACAATTGCACCCATCTTGTTGCTATTCTTATTCCAGGAACACAGCTGATAAGAGTAAGAGATTGATGTGTTTCCTCTGCCCATGAATACTTAAATCACTGACACTTATTAATAATCACAGCACTATTCCTTTTCTCTGTAATTATTTTGGACTGGTCTTCATTTTAACATGAAAGTGATATCTTAGGAGTAAGACAGGAGGGGAGAAATCAATAAATTCACATGGAGCCACTGGCTTTAATTTGTGCATGCCATTAGAATCTGTTATGCTGAGAACTCAGTCATAAACGAAGAAAGAGAAAACAGCTTTAAGGAAAAGAACAGACATATTCATATAAAGAGGATAGAAAATGCAACATAACTGTATCTTCTACATAAGCAAACAAACAAACAAACACA